TTTTAAGATTTTATTTATTTATTTGACAGAAATCACAAGTAGGCAGAGAGGCAGGCAGAGAGAGAGGAGGAAGCAGGCTCCCCGCTGAGCAGAGAGCCCAAGGCAGGGCTCGATCCCAGGACCCTGGGATCATGACCTGAGCCAGAGGCAGAGGCTTTAACCCACTGAGCCACCCAGGCGCCCCTACATACCAGTTTCTGATGTTCTTCTGCTATATGAAATCCACACATAGGGGTGCCTGGGTGGCTTGGTCAGTTAAGCTTCCGACTCTCGGTTTTGGCTCAGGTCATGATTTCAAGAGTTCCAGGTCAGGTCTGTGCTCAGCAGGGAGTCTGCTTGAGATTCTCTCCCTCTGCTTCTCTCCCTACTTGAAGACGCTCTCTCTTAAATAAATAAATAAATAAATCTTTTTTTTTTTTTTTTAAAGCATGCATGTTTCCAAATGAAAGTAGTTTTTTGGCATTCTTATGATCTCTCTCCTAGAGAAAACTATGATGAGAACTCTAGGCCATAGGAATAAGGAACGTACTGTGTGAATTTTCTGTTGCTCATAGACCAATTTTAACTTCTGCTTTTCCATGTGAGCAGGTTGGCTACTCTCCCTGAGAAACCCCCTGCTATCGACTGGGCTTACTATAAGGCCAATGTGGCGAAGGCTGGCTTGGTCGATGACTTTGAGAAGAAGGTGAGACTCAGGCAGCTAAAGCACTGGTCTCATAGTGTGGCTTGCGAGTGCGGAGCAGAACAGTAGCGGTTAGAGATGCAGGATGACAGCATGGAAACAAGGGTGCTGTTAGCAGTCCGAGCCCAAAGGAAGTTCGGGAAAGATGGGTGTAGATATATGGTAAATATGTGCAGAGAATTCAGGGTCTTCACTTAGCAAGTTTCCTATCCAAAGAAACAGTTTAGTATGTTATTAATCAGGGAGACAGAGGGCTGTGGATTTAAGTGTTTCCATTCCAACACTTCCTCAGTTGTTTTTTTTAGCCCTTCACCTGTCTCCCTTACATCTTTTCTACCCTTTCACTGTTTTCTTCCTTTCTCTTCTCACTTTTGACTCTGTCTTTTGGCTAAATTTCTCGTCCACCTAGCCTCCTCTGACATTTACATGTTGAACCTCAGCATCCACTATTTATTTATTCATTGGACACATGGCTTTTCGAAGGCCTACTCTGCGCCTGGTAAAGTGTTCTGTGCTGGGGCCATGGGGCCAAGCAGTCTTCTAAGGAGACCTATCTTCGTCACCATTATATAAACGTTACTTCTGCCAGGTAGTCCATTAGGGTTTCATTTGAAAGAGAAATCCGTTTCTTCAGAACTACAAGTTTCTAGGAGGCCATTTTTTAGGTCCTCTATTCCACCTGTCCTTTTCAGACGAAGAAACTGAAATTCATGGTAATAAAGAATTGTCTAGTTAGTGACAGGACTAAGAACGTTCAGCTCCTGTTCTCAGGCTAATATTCTTTTCACTGCAATACTTCAGATGCATACTGGTTTCCTCTCGGGATAGAGAGTGTGTTTTTGTCTGTAAGGATGGGAGTCTTGGAGCCCTTTCTTTGGACTCCCAGATACATTAATAACAACTGTTCCTGTGTTTGTAGTTCAATGCCCTGAAGATTCCTGTGCCAGAGGATAAATACACTGTTCAGGTGGACGCTGAAGAAAAAGAAGATGTAAGTAGTTGAGACTATTCTTTATTCTAAAACTGTATTTCCTAATGGCTCTGTATTTCTTAGAAGTTAGGTTAAGGTAGAGGGAATTAAAAGGAGTAATAAAATAAAACTCTAGAAAATGCAAGTAATCTATGGCGGCAGTGCTTGAGTAGTTGGCTGGGAATGGGAGGCAGGGGGCTGATAAATTTGTTCACTGTCTTGATGGTGGTGATGGTTTCACAGGTGGATACATATATCAGAACTTCTCCAGTAGCATTTTTTCAGTATTTGTATCTTATTGTAGGCCACTTAAAACTTCAACAATGCTGTTAAAAATAAGGAGTCAGAATTGGGTAGGGACATTATCCAAGGTAGTATTCAGACACCTAACCATTTGCTTGAAAGTCTGAAAGCCAAATGTGGGAAGCCAGGTGGCTCCACCAAAGGGAAGTCAGGCTAGGTGGTCAGGCGGCTTGTCCTGACATTCACTAACCGGCCCCTGTGAAACACAGGCATCTCGTAGGTTGTCTCGATGAGTAACTTGCTGACGAATGACGAACCCTGGTCCTGCTATCATTAGCTAGCTCTCCTGTAGGGGGCTCTTTGTGAATTCAGGAAAAGCTGTCATGTGCCTCACAAAGCAAGGACCCCCCAGGCATCGGGGCGGCCCTGTGTTCTCCATACAGAGTGGGAAAGCCAGGTGGGCTCTGGGACTTCTGTTTTGGGAGCCTCAGGGTCAGGACACTACAACTTGGTTTCAAAACAGAATGTCTCTCTTCTCTTTTTAAGGTGAAAAGTTGTGCTGAGTTTTTGTCTCTCTCAAAGGCCAGGATTGTGGAATACGAAAAACAGGTAAGGATCAGCCTTGGCCTTTGCTTGTAAGATGTTTTCTCTCCCTCATGGCCACACATCTGTCACCTAGTGGCAGTAACCTACCTCGGATTCTTTTTTGCATCTCTGTGGCCCCGTTTACCTTAACACAATCCCCCTCTTTGCAGCTGGAGAAGCTAAGGAACATAATTCCATTTGATCAGATGACCATTGAGGACCTGAATGAAGCCTTCCCAGAAACCAAATTAGACAAGAAGAAGTATCCCTACTGGCCTCACAAGCCAATCGAAAACTTATAAACTTGAGGTGGGGAGAGAGCTCTGGCCCTCGTATTATAAACGCTGGACATT